AGAGCTGCTCTGCAAAGCTGCTGCCAATCGCCAGGTGTCAAATTAAGAGACGCAAAAGATTCCATTAAGGAAAGTGTAAAGGGAACCTGTGCTCCATAATTTAAAGTTGCCTCTTTAAGTTGTTTTATATCCTTAAAATTTAAAGGGTTATGACGCCTAATGACCTGTCCAGAATTGTTCGGATCTGGAACTTCCATTACTGGGGCCACCACCGGGCAGCATTGGACCCCTCCTCTGGGTCTTCCCTCCAGGTCCGAGAAGGACTGGGTTATCTCATAGGAGGAGTCCCTTTTTTCAGAGTATGGGGAAGGGTTTCTCTCCCTGTCCTGTCTTTCCTTAATTAGAATCTTTTTTAGTTCTTTTTAAGGGCCGCGATCTCAGCAAGTAACCGTTCCTTTTCAGACTGTGACGAGTCTGAGTCTGAGCTACTTCCATTTTCTAGGTCTGATAGAGAAGGATATAACCGATTCTGACCGGAGTCCTTCTTTTTGGGTCGCGCCCGGAGATGTCTACCCGTTTTTTTGTTGTTACTAAGAGACTCCTCCTCATCCTCACTAACAATGGAGCCTCTAGTTTCAGTCACGGTCTCTTCATCATCACTCTCTGCCCCTGAACTCAAGGAGGCTTGAGTCTCAGTCTCTTGTAACTCTAAAAAAGCCTCTTTTGTGTCCTGAACTACCTGGCGGTGATGAACCTTATCTGTCAAAAGTGCTCCCCTCACTAATCTCCATAAGGAGAATGTCGTAGGGGGCAAGGACTCAGATCCCTCTTTTCGTAAAAGTCTATGAAGATCACGGCGAACCTCCTCCCAATCTGGAATATTTAAGCTTCCCCCAGTAATGAACCATGGACTGGCTCGTTCGATCGATTTTAGAAAGCCTTCTAGGGTTTTAGACTTGACTGCAGTCCCATGTTCTTTAAGTAACTTTTTTAGTTGATACTGTAATGATTCTAGCTTCCCGGAACTATTCCCCATAGTTTCTTAACCCTGTCCACTTACCTCGCTTTCACGACCTCAGTGGGACCTCCAATTGTCACGTCTGCTGCGCGGCCTGTGTCCGAGAACGTGCGGAGGGTGTCGGGTATTGAAAACACAGAGACTCGTTCAATGATATAAAGAAAACTTTAAACAGGCTCCAAAAAGGTTCAAGAAAAATTTCCTAAGAAAAGCTCCCACCAGAGAAGCTTCTGCTCTCTCCTCTACCCTGGCTGGTTCTGCTCTGACACCAGAGGTGGATGTGTGTGGGTTTTTGAAGGTGCGGTTAGTCTTTGGACAAGGTCGAGGTCAGGGCAGTTTCTGTGGGAAGGCCTTTCCCAGGAACTTATTGTATCATTTTTAGTAAACATGTTTTTACTAAACATTGTCTTACAGCTGCCTACTCCCAGGCAGAAGGGGAAGTGGCCAGGAACTTATTGTATCGTTTTTAGTAAACATGTTTTTACTAAACATTGTCTTACAGCTGCCTACTCCCAGGCAGAAGGGGAAGTGGGTCTCTGCTCAAGGTCTGGTGTTCCCACACAGTGGTTTCCTCCCAAAGTGCCATTTCTCTGAGTTAAAAAAGTTAAGATGTTGGACGCTGGGGAAGCTCCTTAAATTAAAAGCATTCGCTGCTCATGCAGAGGATCCAGGTTCAATTCCCAGCACCAACATGGTGTCTCACAGCCATCTGTAACTCCATTTTCAGGGAACGTGATGCCCTATTCTGACCTCCTTTCACACCAGACACACATGTGGTACGCGCACGCACACACATACACACACAGAGACAGAGACAGAAAGAGACAACACTCATATATGAAAATAAACCTTTTTAACATTGTTTTTTTTAAAGATAGCTCTCAACTTAAAATTCATAGAGGATCCCAATAAGATTTGATTTATGGGAGCTGGAAGCACAGACAAGTTACAATTATTCATGTTTTTATCTTGGACACCGAAAGGGAAGGTTTCATTTTAAACACTAGTGAGCAGATACTTCTGGAGAGTAAAAGTGAATGTTCTCTGTGGTAATGGCATCTTAACACTGGCATTAAATCAGTGATGGCCCTGGGGACCTCTGAGACCTGTCCACAGTCAACATGCTAGTTTCTCCTGGACCACAAAGGCACCCATGGAGGACCAGCTTACACAGTGAGCTGTGTTTGTCTTGGATTTCCATTCCAGATTCCAGGGCCTCTCCCAAGCCCTCCTGCTTAGCATGACTGTGTGGTTGTTTACACAGGCACAGCAGGACTGTGCTGGACTTCACTAAGGAATCATTGCTAAAATGATTATATACCATGGCCTTGCTTGGAATGCATGACCAGGTGTGACCCTTGCATTAGACAAGGCTCTCTGGGGGAACTGAATTGATAGAATGCACATAAACTTTTTTTTAAAAAGAGGATTTCCTGATTGGTTTACATGATATCACCCAGATAGTCCAACAATAGCCACTTGCACATTGGAGAAGCTGAGAACCTGGTGGCAACTCATTCTGTGAAGCTGGATTCCTCACTAGCCCTGCCGGCTACTGTAGGCCTGGAGGATTCATGGTCACTGATTTTTCAGTCCATGTTGGAAAGACAAAGAGACTGGAGTCTGAAGTCAGTGGGGACAACAGCATCAGCCTTAGAGGGCTACAGACCCATAGACAACGAGGGAGGCAGGCTACTTTCTCCTTGGGCCTCTTTATGAATGGGACCCTTGTCAGAAGATGTGGTCCTGATGGGGGAAGTCCTGCTGTGTATATGTAAATAAAGCACTGCTGGCCAATAGAGAAGCAAGATAGGTGGGACTAGCAGTCGAGGAGGATTCTGGGAAATGTAGTCGAGAGTAGAGGGTCACCGTGTAATCCAGGGGAAGAGAGGATGCGTCAGGATGCCATCCTCAGAAAGATAAGTCCTTATAGAAATATATATTAGTAGTCAGGGGTTAATACTTAAGACAGAACTAGACAATGAGAAGTCCTGAACAAAATGGCCAACAGCATTGTAACTAATAGAGTCTCTATGTGTTATTTTGGAGTTGACGCAATATGTAGCCCTGGGACCAGGCTGGCAGGAAGAAGCTTGTTACAGGTCCACTCATGGAGAGAGTCTTTTTCCTCAGTTAATCCTTTCTAGAAAAAGTCTCCTGCACCTGAGTCGTAGCTTGTCTTTTAGTTGATTCCAGATCCTGTCAAGGTAACAACTGAGATTAATCATCACCACAGCCATTTATTTTAAAATTTTTATTGAGATACAATCTGTATGAATCACTTAAAGTATGAAAATTCAGTGTTTTTTTAAATCACCAGAATTATTTTTGGAATATATACCTCCACCCAAAATCCACACCCTTTTTAGCTTTTACCCAATCTAGTTCCCCTGCTCCTTATCCCTAGGCAACCACTTAACTACCTTGTCTCCATGCAACACTTCATTGAAACAGAATCAGGCAACATGTAGCCTCTTGTGTCCTGTTTCTTTCACTTAGCACGATGTTTTCAAGCTTTATCCATACTGTAAAAGTGCTAGCTCATCATTTTTTCACCAGCATATAAAGTTCCACTGTAATTAGACCATTTACCCCCTCTTTGGAATCACACTGTTGTGAATACTCATGAATGGGTTTTGTGTCAACATGCTTTCACAGGTACACAGGTAGGAGCAGCACTGCTAAGTCCCACAGCAGCTCCATGACTAACATTCGAGAACTGCTGTGTACATGGGAGGGGTTGCCCATACCACAGCATGCATGCTTGCGGAGCTGAACACTGAAGTGATGTGGCTTGCAGTGTCAAAACCTGGCTTCGGGGTCAGACGCCCAACAGGTCTAAAGTCTCCTGAGTTGATGTTCAACACCCCACCCATCTGAACTACACAGACAACCTAGAACTTCAAACACTTTTTAGCACTGCTTACCATGTCTGACGCTGTGAGCCTTTCTGTAATGGGCTTAGTGAAAGCCTCCAGCCACCAATGGTGATAGAAGTCTATTTAGATTAATTGCATCTATAAAATACCAGAAAGCTGGTCTCTAAGGTACACCAACTACACAGAGGTTAGTGAGAACTGCATTCAATGGCACAGAATTAAGCTATTCCCACCAGTCCAAAAAGTTTGATTGGACAACATGGGCTTACAGTATGTAAACTATGTCCCAACATGAGGATTGTATGAGCTACCTGCCTGTTTGGGTACTTTTCTGAACACAGTTGTGCCCACCCATTTGTGTGAACACTGCCTGACCTGAGCTATCTCAACATAAATGGTTACCGTTTGTTAAGTGTGGGATACCTACCATCTGACCTTTGTAAGAAAAGTTCGCTGCCCCAGCCCCCAAGCTATTGCCAGAGTGCTGGTGAAGATCTTTGAGTAAAGACCTCCATTGACATTCTGCAGTGTGTCCAAGCATGTCTGTCCCAGGAAGAAGCAGAGGACATGCAGCTGCCAGCAGCCGGAGCTCAGGTGTACAAAGGCTCAAGGAGCCTGTCCTGAATAGTCAGCTCTTCTAAGGTGACTGGACTCAGAGAGTGTGGCGTTGTAACCATCCTGGCAGGAATGAAGACACTTGTACACTTGGCTGTCAGACTATTGAAATAATGGTCCCCAGGGAACTGAGATTTCCCTAGGAATCTTTTGCTAGGGTGAGTCAGACAAGGAACTTCTCTCGGGAAGAGATTTTACAAAGTTCTGACCACCTTACACGACAGACTGGAGCAGAGAGGAGTCAATGCTGGGTGTGGCTGCACCTTGCCCAGGACTCTGAGCTGGCCTCTTGCCCTCTAGTTAAGCAGACCCAGAGATCACATTGGAGGAAGGGTCCCAGGGCTCTTTGCTCTTCTCCCTAGAAAGGTCACATTGAATGATTCTTCCTCTCTTTGCTTTTCACCATTACTTGTCCTTTCCTGGGGTATTGAGGACAAGTGGCAGACCCAGATAGTTGAGGCTGCCAGAGTCGAGTGTGACCCTGACGACTGTAGTCACAGAGGTATTGGGTGCTGCATACCCACCTGGAAAAAGCACATGAGAGGATCTTACCATTTGCTTTATTTTTTATTTTTCATTCTCCCCAGGTCAACAAGGCAGCAGGATGAACAGAGATGAGACACACTGTTCTCTCACACAATCATTCAAAAACCTCTTCCAAATTGATGTGTTCCAGATAATCCTAAGATTGTTTTCTTTTTTCACCAGACGATGCTTGACTGGAAAGATGTTCCTTTCCATATGCTCATCATAACTCCCCTCCAGATGGGACCAGCTTAGAGCTCTCATATCAGGGAGACAGAGAAACTCTGGGTTGACCTCCTTCAAGGTCATTCCCATGATGCCCAGGCTGACTGCCCTGGCTCCTTTAGCAAGCCTAGTCCCTTGGCTCTCCCCACCCCAGGGCAAACAGTAGAAGAGGGTTTAGGAGCTCTCTGAGGACCCAGCTTGCATGCAACAAGCCCCTCAAGGTCTGAAGCCCAGAAATCACTCTTGGATGCCTTCCACTTCTGTCGCCTCTAGGAAGTCAAGCTTTGTTGGAAAAGAGAACAGAGCTGACTCAGGACTCGGTCATGCTCACTTGGTAATAAATGTCTCTATTGTCCACAGAAAGTAGAGTGTGTCTATAGCAGCTCGGACTGCCCCTGGGGCCAGAGGGGATGGATATTTCTTAGGCTGCCTAAGAGCATCTGAAATGATAACATCTGGGACAAAGGGTTCCCTGGGTGCTGCAATGTCAACTGTGCCATTTGTAAATGCACTGGTGAACTTGGATGTCACGCGAACAGGAGGAAGCCCCCGTTTCCCTTCCCAGACAGACAGGGGGCGTGCACCTTTTTCAGGTTGGCTCGCTCAATTCCCTCACTCCCACCAGCCTTTCTCTGCTGCTCTGTCCATGGTATTTGGATAAATGAGAACAAAGGAAAGAAAACACCCTAAGCTGCCAGCCCTCCCCTTTGGGACTAGCCAAGCCATGCAGGCATGCTCCTGGGTATCTCTTGAATTACAGACAAAACAACAGTGAGAGCCTGCTACAGAGTTACTACTGGAGTAGATTTCATTTGCACAGTCTGGGGTAAGTCTCAAGTGTCCAAGAGGGTCACCCACGCTGCCGCCTTTTTCGTCCCCGCAGTTTCAGGCGCTTGGCGGGAAGGCTGACAGGCTGCTTCCCAAATGTCTCCATGATTTCTCTTATCCTAGCCAGGTTTGTCTTGCTGAGTGTGAAGTCACACCGAGTGGCTCCCATGTCATAGCCAACCATGCAATTCTTGGATGAAGTGACAAAGCCCTCAGCCTTTGCGGTGACCACATATTCTCCCGGGTTCAGTAGGCGCCAGTAATCCCCATCGTTGGCTGGGAAAAGAAAGCAAGGGACCTCAGACCAGATCTGCGCTAGCACAAGTACTTCCAGCCCTGTTGCATGACAGCCCAGCAGAGAGGGCCCTGAGCTCCCATGACCAAGTGCTTACAACACTAGGGAAGCCAAGATGCTTTTCTCTTTGGTAGCTGCCTTAATGTTTCAACAGGAAGGAGCAGAGGGTGTACGCTTTTCCCACAGTTCAAGACCAGAGTTTTTCCTCTGTAACAATACAGGGCATTCATTATAATTTTGAACTCACAAACATTATGCCCTTGTCACAAAACAGCACCTTGCAAAGTCAGCCGCTCACAGCTTCCTGGCTTCCCTCTGCATAGCTATGAATACAGAAGAATTATTTCCAAAAGGGGAGGCTTCTAGGCTTCTAACACGTCCAGGAACAGACTGCCAGGAGATGGCTCCAGGCTTTATTCTGTGGCCATGGATAGGGAAACTTGGGAGCTGCAGGAACAGTGACACAGGGACTCAACAAGTGAAAGGCCCATGAGAACTAGGAAGCTGCAGGCAGGGCTGAGGATGAGCCCTGATCCCCAGTTCCATTACTGGTCACTTAGCCAGTGGGTTCCTTCCTTAGCTTTCTGTGAGTCAGAACAGCCTGGCAATAGTGGACTCTGGGGCTTAACTAATTCTCCATTGAGACCAACTAAGTTCCCTTTCTCATGCGGGCATGTGTGCTGGCTTCTTATCCACCCATTTTCTTTTACCCACTTGACCCACCTGACCACACTCAAAGGAGTGATGCTGAGATTCAATTACAAATGGGTTACATCCTAAGACATGGGCTCTAAAGAATGTCGTATCTTCACACAGAAGCTATAACAAGAACAGGGAGTCACTCCCACTTTCAAAGACACTGTCTTTTAGAAGGAAACTTGAGAGAGTGGAGGACATGTGAAGAACACAGCTTACTCAACCTGGCTTAAGGAACTCAAGGATGCAGAGGTCCTTAAAAGGAGACTTACATGCCAAGCTGACTGGCCAAAATTACACCTGAGATAGGCAAAACATACCTATCTATGTATGAACTGAACCCAGATCTCCGCATGCCAGACAAACTCGACCACTGAGTTGTACCCCAAAGCTATGAAGAGTCTCTCTCTCTCTCTCTCTCTCTCTCTCTCTCTCTCTCTCTCTCTCTCTCTCTCTCTCTCTCTCTCTCTCTCTCTCTCTCTCTCTCTCGCTCTCTCTCTCTCTCTCTCTCTGTGTGTGTGTGTGTGTGTGTGTGTGTGTGTGTGTGTGTGTATACATGGTTGAGTCTAGAGTCTTCCTTAATTGCTATTCACTTTGTTTGCTGAGTTGTGGTCTCTTGCTGCAGCTGGAGCTCACTAGTTTGGCTGTTCTAGCTACTCAGCTTATCCCAGGGATCCTGTCTCTTATTCCTGAGCATTAGGATTATAGGAGTCTCCACTAAACTAGCCTATCATTTACATGAATGCTGGAATGCAGACTCTGGTCTCAGTGCTTATGTGGCTAGTGTTTTATCCATTGAACCATCTCTGTCCCCTTTCTTAACTCTGGACAGACACTCTGTGATTCTGTTCTCTCCCTTTAGCATGGTACCCCTTGTTCTTCTAAGAGCTAGCCTGCATTCCTCCCTTAGTGAAGTACCCCCTCCTTGCCTTTTTTTGCATGTCTCTGTATCTTCCTGTTGCATTTCTTTCTTGGCACTCATTGTCATCCGTAATATTTTTATTTTCCCTATCAATTAATTGCAGGTCTCCTCCACCAGAAAGTGTACTCAGTGGTCAGGGATATCTTTGCTGCTTGTGGCAGTAGTTCCTGGCACACACTCAGTGCCCAACAAGTCAAGCTAAAGGAAAGATGGAAATAATGGCAATCATGTCCACTTCACAGGATCGGAACAGGAGATACTGGTTCTGAAATCGAGAAGTTTCCACTTTTGAAACATGGATCATCCTTGTCTCCCCTCTGCCTGACAGAACTTCATGGACAATGCTTTCCCACCTTGTACCTGGGGCTCTTGTTATTTCTGCTTCTTCCCTGAGGACACTTACCCTACAACCATGCACTGGAAGACATAGAGGGAACTACACATTGAGATCTGTCCCACTGAACAATTGAACTAGTTTTCTGGAGTAAACACTCCATGTAGCCACCAGGCAAGTTTAAAACCATGAATGCTGCTTGTCACTTATGGGGTGAAAGGGGCACCCCAAGCCTAATGAGTGTTCATTCATTAGCCACTCAAATTGGTGTCTTCTAAGTAATGAACAGCATATGAAATTCTAACCCAAAGGTGCTTTCAAAAAAATCTTTTCTTTCCTTTTGTGTGGGTGTTCAAGTCAGGGTTTCTTGTGTAGCTCTGGCTGTCCTGGAACTCACTTTGTAGATCAGGCTGGTCTCGGAACTCACAGAGATCCGCCAGACTCTGCCTTCCGAGTGCTGGGATTAAAGGAATGGGCCACCACTGCCCAGCTAAAAAATTTCTTTCTGGCTCCCTGTCTCTGGGATTCTGCTTAATGCCCCTGTTTACATTATGCAAACTTCCCCTGAAATGAAACTTGTCGGATCATATAAGCTTCAGACAAATACCAAGGCAGAGTCAGCACTTCTGGGGAGCATGGAAGGATGCTCACAAAGCACCATGTGTAGAATATGGAAGGCTTCTGCCCAGAGCACACGCTGGGAAATTATTTATAGGAGGAAGTAAAGGGGATGAGATGCAGTTCCCATTAACTGGTTCAAACTGCTTGATTACAGGGCTTGAAATTCAGAGCCCATTAAGCAAAGCATTCTCATCTAGGCTTAGAGTGCCCCAGGGCCTTTTTACCTCCTGCTGTGTAGAGCTCCTGTGTTTTCCTACATTGCCCACCAGGCACTAAATAGCACAAGGAATGGTCAGGGTTCCTGCTTCATCTCTGGCAGATTATGGGGACTTGGCCCATGTCTACTGAATTGACGGACGGATGAATGAATGAATAAATAAATGAATATATGAGTGTATTAGGTACTAGGTACAAATTTCCTTGCAGTACTGGGTGAAACCTTATGAGTAATGGCTGTAGCATATAGGCACAAGTGGCAGAAATCCTACAGAGTGAAACACTTGGTGACTAAGGGGATAGAACAATGGTACCACACATCAGTCCCTAAGTTTTCCAAAGCTCCCATTGCAACTAGAGTTTTAATGGTTGCTCCAAGCTATCCTAGGAAAGGGGCAAGGAGGAAGCCAGGAAGCCCAGGCTGAAAAACCCCATTTGCAGGGGTCTCTTGGGAACTTGGAAAGAGAAGAGGCTGATTCAGTCCTGAATAAGAAGTTTCTGTATGAGTGCCCTGTGCTAACCAACTGTGCCACCAGCATTCTGGTGAATAAGTTTCTGGAATTCCAGTTATGATTAAAAACCAAGCAACACACTGCAAGGAGCAGGTATTTCTTACTGAAACAATTTATGCACATTCTCGGATACCTGTCCGGATGTCATGGTTAACACCTTCCACAGAGATGATGGCATTTGGGATCCCTTTTCCATGTAAATCTCTCACTATGCCTTTGATGCCCCGATGAACCTGCAGCAAACATGAGACACAGTGAGTCACCAGCCAGCTCTAGATACCAACAACACAAGGAAGAAGGCAGTGCAGGTAACATCAGCCCAGAATATTCCAAGTACCACATCTAGCTCAATATACACCTGGCTCTGCATGAACTTAGTAAAATGTTTTGTAGCCCATGAGCCAGCAAGTTCCTCACTGGAATTAAAATTCTCCAGAGTTAAAAACATATTAGGGTCTGAGAGTTTCACTAAAATATACCCACTAGGGCTAGGGATGTAGTACAGATATAGAATGCCTGTCTAGTATGCATGAGGTCCTGGGTTCTGGCCCTAAGCTATGAGAAAATAAAGCAAAATTTCTCTGGAAACTAGAATTTAATTTTATTTCTAATTAATTTATTATTTTAGTTTGAGGCAGGGTCTCATCATATAGCTCCAGTTGGTCTGCAATTTTTTATAGAAACTCGACTAGCCTTGAATTCAAGACATCCTCCTGCTTATGCCTCCCAAGTGCTGGGATTAAAGTCTTGAATTACCAGCTTGAAAAGTAATTTAATTTTTATCAAGCATGCATGCTTATTTGGCCTTTCCTGGGTTCCATGAACTTAATATCATAGGAGTTAAAGACAGCGGAACCAGAGGTCATCATAAAATGACTGCTTGGAAAACCAGGAGATGGTGGTGCATGCCAACACTCAGGAGGCAGAGGCAGGCAGATCTCTGTGAATTCAAGGCCGGCTTCAAAAACCAAATCAAGGCCTTCCCTCTTTTCCTTATACAAAGGAAACTGAGCCTTCCCCATGAGGTTCTAGAGTGGACTCACAGCTTCCTGAGAGGAAGAAACTAGCTCCTACCCTTTGTGCCAGGAATCCTATTAGGACCCTTGCAGAACAGGCTTGACTGTAAGATCCAGATGCCAGTCAGGGTCATCTGTGCAGGGGTGCAGCCACAGCACTGGAAAGCTGGTACCCAAGCATTGGCAGCAAGTACCATCTGACCCTCCCATGATTGTGATTCTCATACTCACAACCCATTTCTTAGCTAGGTCCTCTCCTCCCAGCCACATGCCCAGCATACCTGCTCCATGAACACAATCAAAGACTCCCGGTTATTCTCCCATTCCTCGGGAAGCTCACTCTCATGGGGGTATTTATCACAGCCCACATAGATGGACAGCTCAAAGCAGTTTGTGTGGAGGTAGCTGAAATCATTCAGACCTGGCAAGCCAATCAGACATTTTAACTCACTTAGGCGTCAAGTTGCATGGAGAGGTGGCAAGAATGTTCGAGAACATTTAGAGGTCTTCAACTGAACAGGGAGGCAATAAAAAACTACTATAGATAAACACAGGAAAGCAAATGTGCCTGGAAAAGCATCATTAATTACCATAATGGATTAAGTGTTTAATTCACTGTATTTGGCAGCTATATGGGTCTCAGATGAGAGCTTGAATAGTTCCCTGCCTCAATTCATTATGACAGCTGTCTGAGCCACAACCTCTGTCCTGTCTCATGGTCTTCTCTCTGTATCTGCCTTCATGTGCCTCTCCTGGGCATGTCCATAAGCTATGTCCTACAGGTCAAGCATCCTCCCCACAAGCTCAGCCATAGCTCGATCTCACAAATAAGACAAGTGAGGCTGTGATCGGTGAGGCTCTGATCCAGGATCCGTGTGTCTACAAAAGGTCATGGTCTAGGTTGGAGCCATTGCTCTTGTCTCCAACAGTGTGGTTGTTTGGTGGCTGTCTGTTTATCCCAGCCACCCAGTGAGGCCCAAAGCAACAGACCCACATTCTGATCTGCAGAAGGAAGCAGCCAGCCTAGAGTATGCCTGTCCCGTTATGAGCTCCCTGGGGCTACTGTTATGTAAGGCCACATCCTGGCTTAAAGCAGACACTTACTTCCATGGGTTGAGGGGCCAGAACTCCTTAGGTGTTTGTATCCTGCAAAGCCTTGTGGGAGTACCCTTCCTGACTGCCTGACTTTTGCTAGCCCAGGCATTTCTTATGTCAATAGCTTGATTCTACAGTCTTCTGCACTTGCTTTTTCCTCTTTGGATCCATTTAAGGACATTTCTCGCTGATGCAGGGCACATCCAAGTACAGAGAAGGCACATCTCCAGGCCCTTAATTACATCTTCTAAAACTGTCTTCCCAGTAAAGTAACAGCTATAGGTGTGAAGCAGTTACAAAACAGACATGTTATTTTGGGGGGTCTTTCTCAAGTCACTACATTACCCAGTATTTGTAAAACAAACTAATTACTATCATGAGGGTCATGTAGCATAAAGGAGCCCAACTCTTAGGGTGAGTGGGGTGCTGGGGATTGGATCCAAGGCATTATCCATGCTCAGCACTGAGCTCTCTCTTGAGCTTCCCCCTCCTTCAGCCCTCTCAACATCTCCACCTCTGAACAGGAGGTGTCTAGCAAGCTGTGCTCTACATCAGTAGGGAAAGCACATTTTCCGAGGAAGATTCTCTAAGGAGCAACTCCCCCCTCTCTGAGGTCAGTTGTTGAAGGTGGAAGCTGGGGCATAAGGCTCTGTGTGGACAGGGGAACATGTGTTCTCCAAGGGCTTCCCAACTCAGTCTTCATATGACTTTCTCCCTCCCTGCCCTCTGTGAAGTATCTTTTGCTTTAAAGTCAGACTTTGGAGTATCAATCCACTGTCCTACCCTGAGAACAGTACCAAACATTTAACAGCTAGCTTAGCTCTCCTCCACTTGATTCCAGACTCCAGGCACTTGAATTTCTTTGCAACTATGACCTCTCAGAATAAAGCAAGGAAGAGTAAACCAGGAACGAAAGGGACATGATGGGGTTGTATTCAAGGAATCCTTTACAAGGACAGGCCAACTCCAGGACAGTTCATCTATTAACCTACAGCAAAGGATTACTGAGGACATCTGGGGCCTATGGCAACAGTCACCACTTAGCCCAGGTCTCGACTCTTAGGAGGGAATGGGCTTCCTTTGAACACAAAGGTGTCATTAACCTCACATTCTTAGGCTCTACTAGTACTAAAATAATTGTGATAATTGGGGGTCTCTTTTTCTTTTTTTCCCCAAGAAGCATCTTTGAAACAGTAGAAGCCTGTGACATTCTGGAAGCCTAAGACATGCTGGTAAAATGATGAGAAATTTCAGCCTGGAGCAGCTCTGGCTCGCCCATCTGTTACTGACATCCTGCCCTTCAAGTGAGGCCTTGCTCAGAGTGTTCTACACAGAAGAGCTTAGACTGTGAAAGATGACTTCCTGTGGACCAGGATCTGCCATGCAGCCTGATAGTTCTTTCAACCCTTCAGTCCTGGCAAGAGGCATCCTTTGCAATAATCTCTCTGACTAAAATCACAATAGCCCATGGCACCCACCCTCCTTGTGACAGACAGTGCAGGTCTACAGCTAAGAGGAGAGTGCCCCAAGTCACTTTGGAGTTCAAAAGCACAGGCTGACCATGCTGGACACTTTGAAATGTGTCAAGCCTCGCTCATAACTGTTCCCCACTCCCACATACTCACTGATGACTGCCATGAGGGATAATGAGTGAGAAACAGAAGATTAGAGAGACTGAGTGGAGGGGAGGAAACTGGGGTTCAGAGTTCTTTAATCTACAGCGAGGAATCTGCAGAGTCCATCAGAGAAGAATGATGGGAAAGACTCAAGCTAGTACATGGCTTTGCCACAAAGTCCCAGAAATAAGAACAAGTAGAATTGGGTGAGTAAAAGCATCCAGTGCTGCCTACACCAGCATGCAGCAGCCTGCCTTCCATGATGTCACCATTGACCAGACACTGTCAAACTCAGCAGTGTCTGTTTGCAGCTTAGTCACAGTAGAAAATAAATAAATAAATAAATAACAGATTTTACTTAGAAATTTCTGTAGGTATATCTTTAAGACTAAACTTGAGTTTTTTTTTAAAAAAAGCTTTTTTATATGCCAACCAGTGTTTCTTTTGTAATGTCACAGTGCAAAGTCATTGCAAAGAAAGAATTATCTCCACTTAGATTGTTGTCAAGACAAAAATGGCATCCTTTCTGATATGTTTTGAAGTGACTACGATAACAAATATTTCTATTTTTGTTTTCTTTTCCAAGAGAGGAACATACTTGAAGAGTATATGAAGACTGAATTTATAGTAAATTGCCATACTAACGAAATTAACTGTATGTGGAATGGAGAACAGGATAGGCTCAGAACATCATAGGATCTTCTAGTTCTCTTTGAACTTGCTGTGGTAAAATATTCTGACAAAAAGCAACTGGGAAGGTACTATCTAGTCACAGTCCAACAGAGCCAGGAGTTGGAGTGACTAGTCATATCCACAGGCAAGAGCAGAGAGAAATAAATGCACATGCAAGCATATCTACTTGCTTGGCTATCCTCAGCTCAAATTTCTCCACTTTTATTTAGTTCAGAGACATCTACAGTGGGCTGGGCCTTCCATATCCATTAACAATACATCCCCCAAACATGTCCACAGGCCAGTCCAATATGGACAATCCCTACATTGCTCTCCTCCCAGGTTACTCTAAGTTGTGTCAAGTTGACAATTAGAACAAACAATTACACAGGGATTTCACGGTCAGCATGCCTGAGAGAGGGGAGACACCTTAAGCTGAGTGTTTCTGATCAGCCAGACATGAATTACAACCACCAACCATGTCTGTGTGATCCTATCATATCCTAGAGGGAAATATCATTACCACATTTTCATGCCCAATTCTTGATAGAAAAGTGTAGTGATTCAGAGAAAAATTATCTGAATGATAAAGCCAGATTTAAATTATTGGACACGAAAGATTTTTCATTTCCACTGTTGCCTTAACAGTCCCCACAATATCAAGAAAAGAAGTGATTCGCATTATGCTGGGACCTTTGGCCCTTATAGGTGACCTGAGGGAACATGCTTTTCTCATCCCTTGCAAATCTTGACATGAACTACAGGGCTCTCTGATTGCTGCCAAGTGATTTGGACGTCTCTTGGGGAAGCCTCTCCAGGCCCATGTGCAGACTTTGACATATTTCGTTGGTGACACTGGGTGGCTAGCCAATAGACAGCAGATATATGTAACTGTTCCCACCACATGGAGATTTCAGGGCACAACAACTCAGTTGCATCACACCTGAGCCAAGATGCAGGCTCACAGTCTTGGACAGCCCCACAGATCCCAGTGAATCTGAGCAAAGATCCCCAGCTTTGGCACTGGTGTGCCCTGCCATTTTCTCCCATCTGTAGTCCTGTGAAATCTGAGTATCTCAGTGGCTAAGGGCAAGACCTAACAAATTCCAGCCTTACCAGTTTCTTGATTGGGCAGAATCCCAGCCCAGGCACTCTCATTCACGAAAATGAGTAAACCCCATCTACCTCTGAGAAGACAGTAAGGGTTAAAGGCCCATCTTTGGGCAGTTCTGAGCGCTGATAGATTGGAAGCCACTGATAACAGTTATATGGAGCATAATGATGAGAGGGAAGTGAGGCAGCTAATCTTGCTTGTCAATTTCACTACAACATCTGGAGTCATCTAAAACCCAAGCAACTAGGCCCCCCTGTGATGGATGTTCTTGACTGGATCATTTGCAGTGGGAAGACCCACCATGAAGCTGGTTCACATGATCTGGTGGGAAGCTACATAAAAAGCATGGGAAGAAGGAAGCCTTTGCTTTTTGCCCGCCTGCCCTCACTCTCACTGGCAAGTGCATCTATCCTGTTGCTGCATTCCTCCACTGGTATTAGATCCTACTTCTTCAGGATTCAACACAGAATGAAGACCAGCAGGTCTCTGGGAATTTCCTGGAACTCCAGTACCAGGTTGGAACTGAACAAATACCACATACTTGTCCTTTATGTCAGGAGAAAGAGCTACTCATACTAGAGCCTGTAAGCCACTCTAATAAAGCCGTGTGTGTGTGTGTGTGTGTGTGTGTGTGTGTGTGTGTGTGTGTGTTCATTCATTCTATAGGGCATATAAGGAGGGACCTAGGGTTTAACTCTGGACTAAAATCTATGGTTGTTAATATTACCAAATTGACAGGACCTACAACCTAAGAGATGTAGCCCTAGCCATGTTCCCATGGGATTACCTAGACTGGGTTAGTTAAATGTGAAAAGACCTAACTGTAGCCATCACCACATCATAGGCTGGGTTATTGGACTGAACAAGAAGGGAAAAGATAACTGAATATCAGTGTACATCTCTGTCTATTTCTTGACTATGGATGTAATGTAAGCATGCCTCACATTCCTGTACCCTCAACTGTGAGTCAACATACCCCATACCCCCCACACACATACCACAAACACACAGTTGCTTTTTGTGTTTGGCACAGCAACAGGGAAAGTAACCAATGCACCACCCATGGTCATTGGGGACATGACACTAGACTGGCAGATCTAAGACTTACTTCCAGCCACTGTGTGCCAGGAGGCCCCATTGACAGTGCCATCCTCCTTCTGAAAGTCTTCTGTGTGGCACACTCGCCTCCTGGCATCTGTCATGAGGCGGTGAGTGGAGGCATAGGAGTACGCCAGCCAGCGGAACACGTGATCATCGGGGGTTGGGGTGTGTTCCTGCGTCTTCCACAGGGACCGCACCATGTCATAGGGGTATGCCACCACTAGCTCACCCCCCTGTAGGTTGCCTCCCAGCACAAAGGGGATCTTCTCCATCCAGGCAATCACAGCTCTGGTCTCCATGGCCACCTGGGAGTATACAAATTTAACAAGAAAATGAAATTGCTTCACTGCCCTAGCTTTCAAAAAAGGGGAATGTTTAAAAAATCAGGAATTTTATGGAATAATTTTAACAACATTCAGAATCTTAAACTGTGTCCTGTGAAAACTGGACTTTCTTTTTAGAAGCAATGGTTGAAAAAGGCAAGGCCAGGGAAATGTCCAGTTTCCACAGCAGGGTATTCTAGTAAATACTGGAGGGGCTAAAGGAATATTATTCTGTGATTCCAGTAAACTCCTGGGTTTGGAGTGTTCCCCCACAACTACAGACAACATGGGAAAGACACACAACCAGTAGCATGTATCCAGATGGCAGGCACACACCCCAAGCCCGCAAACTTGAGACAGCACCAGGCTTCTAGCCGAGGGGTCAGCTGACTTCCTGCAAAGGGCCAGATGGGGAATATTAGGGGGTTTTGTGGCCAGGCAGACTCTGTCACAGCTACCCAACTATATTTCTGTAGCAAAAAAGCACCATGGACAAAATACAAATGTGTGCCAATCAAGGCCACTTTGGAAAGCAGGCCTGTGTAGGCTGTAGTTTGTGGACTGCTGCTTTGTCTAGTCTTAGTCTTAAAGTCACTCTCGGTTTCCATAAAATGGAAAAGGATGTACACACATCCCAGGAACACAGCCCTGGCTCCCAGAGGCAGAAAATGCAGCTGTTCATGAACAGCCAAGGGTGACATGAGGAAGAAGGCAAGACGGGGAAGAAGAGGAAATAATGGAGGGCAGCCTGTTAAAAGGAATGCCAAATGACTTAAAAGCAATAGGAAGGAATGGGCTTCATTTGAATCAAGATTTAAGCAACAGGGAGGGGGTGAAATGGGATAAGAGAAATGAATGGGGTGAGCAGAGTTCAATGATTGGTATAAGAAACTCAATGGGGCCAGGCAGTGGTGGTGCACACCTTTAATCCTAGCACTCAGGAGGCAGAGGCAGGTGGATCTCTGTCAGGCCAACCTGGTCTACAAAACAAGTTCCAGTACAACCTGCTACACAGAAAAAGCCTGTCTCAAAAAGAAAACCCAAAATAAAAAGAAACAAAAATGAGAACTCTGACCTTGAAATGCCAAGAAAAAAACTTACTTGAGGCTAAGGAGTACTCCATGGGCCAAACTGCTTGCCTCACAAGCCTGATGACTGGAGTTCAATTCTCAGAACTCATTTAAAATTCAGATGTGGTAACACACATCTGTAATCCGTCTACAGAGAGATGGGAGACACTGGCCAGTTAGCCTGGATATGTCAGCGTGGTGCAAACAGCAAGAAAGATCCGGTCTGAACAAAGTGGAGGAAGAGAACTGACTCCTGAAAGTTGTCATCTGACCCGCATAGGTGTGCCATGGCGCGTGCAGGCACACACACACACACACACACACACACACACACACACACGCATTGGAGCTTACACAGAGAAAAAATAAAATTGCAATAGAAATATTTTAATGTTTTGGTTTTTTGTTTTTTCGAGACATGGTTTCTCTGTATTGTTTTGGAGGCTGTCCTGGAACTCGCTCCGTAGACCAGGCTGCCCTCCAACTCACAGAGATCCACCTGCCTCTGCCTCCCGAGTGCTGGGATTAAAGGCGTGCGCCACCAACACCTGGTGGCTTATTTTAACATGATAATGGCAATATCTGTGGATTTAAAGGACAGCTCCCGGGAGTTTAGAGATGCCTGTTGAAATGTTCATAAATGAAATGACGTGAAGACATGATGCCGGCCTCAGTAAAAGGAAGGAGAGATGCCTGGTGGAGGGAGCATGGGAGCATGAGTTGGCACATGTCAGCGCTGACATGAGTGTCTCTGTGCCTCTACTTCTTCCCTTACTTTTGCACATTTGACTTTTTATGGGGGAAAGTTATAAAAGAGGAAAACGGCAATGTCAAAAGATCAAATTAAGAAGGTTGGCATGGTTTAATATAGACATAGAAATCAAGCCAGATTATAATGTAGTACTGATGGTCACACAAAGATAATTTCAGTAAGACACAGTTGATGACAACAGAGGAACACTGGGAGTCACTTACTGTGCAGACAAAACTGCCAACTCAGGGGCACAACGTGCTTGCTGGGCTTCATTAAATTTGATTCTGGTGTTTAAGCACACCATAGGCCCTGAGTCAGGTTAATTATGGAACGCATCTCAGTGCACAGAATCAATACCATTCCATGCTGTGAACCCAAGACCCAAGTCTCAGTAGCAGTTGCTATGTACCTGGGTGATTTCCGCCCCTCACACACCCCATTGCTTCCCATCCTAAATGAGATGGCTCCGTTTTCCCTGTCTCACTTTAACTGCACATGGAGACATTAAATTTACTGTTTGGTTTTACTTGTCTTCTCAATTTTTTTTACCCAATTTGTGCTCCTAAGATTCATTCTTGGTTTTGATGCATGCTATTTCTAAGTCTTTCCTCTTTACTATGAAGAGACAGTTTCTCTGCATATGTGATAATGGATGTTAAGTCTTCAGCCTTTCACTGCAAGAAGCAGTGTGCTTTGAATTCTCTGGTACTATGTTATGGTACACACATCACCAAAAGTGAAATGGCCACATGTCACCAGAACTCCATCTTGATACATCATCAGAAGTGGCACTGTTTATATACCTAGTAATTAGCGAAAGCCAAAGATAATTTCATGGAAGTATAATTGACGTGAATAAGGATAATGATAGTCACAAATTCATGCATTCTGGGGGTGGTTATTTTGTTTCTTTACAACTTGGTAGTTATAAAGAAATTCAATCAAATGACTCTGCAAATAATTTCCACAATACCAACTTGAAAGGTAGTTAAGACCTGGGACTATTCCATACTGCTAGGGAAGACAAGAAAAGAAAGATATCCTTCTCTTGTTCTTCCATGCATGCCACACCCTCTGCAGATACCAGCAGGCATCCTTTGGCCCTCCTCCACCCTACAAATGAGAGGTTTTTTCTTCACTCACTGTGGCATTTTCAGACAGATACCACTCAGGGATGGCAATGAAGTGGTTGGGAACTTTCCTTGGGGCATTCTGACGGTCCTCTGCCTCCCAGAGCAGTGTGTTTAAATCCGGAAAGTTGTTGTTGATATCGATCCCATCATGGGTCCAGCGTCCCAAGGACCAGCCTCCCAGCTCAGAGCCCTAGAGAAGATTCAGAATGTAAAGAGCTCTCAGACTGCAGGAGAATCGGGGATATGTGATGTGTCTGTCTCCTGTGTGCATCTCCAAATCTCTGCAAGCTCTTGGCCCCAGAAAAGACATCACAGGAGAATATAGAAAAATATGCTATTGATATCTGATAAGTCACAGACAAAACAGCTACCTCACTCCAAAGACGGACACACAGAGGACCACTCATGCCATATGGCCAAGCTCAAAGCCTGAGGTCTCTTCTCAGACCTCTCCCCTACCCCTCCCTCCACTGCTCAGCTGAACCTCTGAAAAGGAAGAAGCCTGGAACTACAGCATTGCAGCATCACTTACTATCAATGCAATGCCAGTGTGTTCCCCTTGCCCTGCCTGGAATCCCGGCTTTAGAGTTAGTGTGGTGCCCATGGCCACACCACCCTAAATATGCCCAATTCTGTCTACTCTTAGAGACTAAACATGATTATTGGGCCTGGTTAGTACTTGAATGGGAATTATTGTTATGACTAGCAAGTATTTGTGCCCAAACCAACAAACACAACTAAATGCTGCACTTAAAGTTTGCATTTGTCAGACACCTCTATTTAGATGGTGCTTTATTTTATCCCAATTATTGGGAAATATCGCTATTGATTCATAACATGATTCAATGCAGTTATATACATATATACATATCTGTGGTACATACTAATTCCATGTGATAATTAGTATAAACAATATCTCAGAATAATCAAAACAGTTATCATTAGGGGACAAGTGAGAATATTAGAGGCAATAACGAAGGCTAGCACATGCTCAAAAGTTCTCAGCCAACACGAGGTGCTACTGCCATGAGGTATGTAGCAATGGCATTACTCATGTGGACACTTGTGGACATATACCTCTTTCAGGGCCACCATCAGTTTCAACTCCTGCTTTGCATCCCTTAGAAACCTTGTGGATTGGAAGAAACAATCAGAAAGAAGGCAGAACAGTTTCTGCAGGCAAAGGCTACAGACAGAGTTTCCCACCTTCAGCAGAGAAGGCAAAAGTGGCTTGGCAAATGGCTCAGTTGGGAAAGCACTTATGGAGCAAGCATGAATTTAGATCCTAAGTACCCAAGTAAAGAGCTGGGTGCAACAGTGTGTGCCTATAGTCTCAGCACTCAGGAGGCAGAGACAGATATATCCCTAGCATATGATGGCCTGATGGTCTAGCTGAATCAGTAAGGTCCAAGTACAGCAAGAGACCCTGTCTCAAGAACTAAAGTGGGGGAAGCTATTGAGAAAAATGCACATCGCCAACCTCAGGACCTCCCCGTGCATATAAAGACACATGTACATGCATATGCACACCTACACACATATCAAAAACAAGAGAAAAAGAGAGAGACAGAGACAGACAGAGGGAGAGACAGAGACAGACAGAGGGAGAGGGAGAGGGAGAGATCCCTGTGAGCTGGGCTCTAAGCACACCCTGGAGTTGGGATATCACACGTGTCTCAGATGGGGACTAGAACACACTTACTCCTTCATAGGCCTTCTCATAGCCATCAGGATTGAGGGAGGGTAGAATGTGGATCCGCGTCTCTTCCACCAAGCGGACAATGCGTGTGTTCTGCGCCAAGTACTCCTGGCAGAGGAACTGCAGCAGCAGCAGCAGCAGCTCACGGCCTAGTACCTCGTTGCCATGGGCCCCTGCGATGTAGTGGAACTCTGGCTCACCTTGACAGAGACAGAGACACAGGCTCCTGTAGGCATCCACATGGGGCCTGGCAAGGTTTGCAATGACACAAACACCTCAACCATATTTTTTCCTTTCAAAGAAGCCTCCAAAATTACATTGCGATAATTATTTTAAACTCAAATGCATGTAAGAAAGACACAGGCAGAAAGCCTAAACATGGGGTATGCATTCTTACTTAGCATGGACAGACTAGATATCTGAGTACTTGTGATTACAAGCTATACACAAAACACAACCATTGCTTTTTCTCTTCTGTGGTACAGTTTTTTCCCCTTGGGGGAATTTTTTTTACTGTTTTACAGGGATCCAAAGATGAATGACTACATGAAGAAAAAGTCAGCAAGCACACAGTTTGCTTAATGTTCTCAATATTTTCTCTTCCAAAGCTTAGCTTCTTAATGAGAGGTGCTATGGATTCTTGTGTGTGTGTGTGTGTGTGAGAGAGAGAGAGAGAGAGAGAGAGAGAGAGAGAGAGAGAGAGAGAGAGAGAGAGAGTGTCTAAAATTCATGCTCAAGTCAAGACCCTGTGATAGTATGAAAGATGGGGCCTTTAGAAGGGAATGAGGTATTAGTGTCCTCTGAGAGTGTAGCCTTCCACCACCTTGTATCATGCGAGGGTAAGCAGAAAGCAGGCCATCACTGGCCAGACTCCACATGTGCTGGCCTCTTGCTCTGGAACTTCCCAGGCTCCACAATTGTGAAAAAGAAATTGGCTGTTTTGTTATAGCAACTAAGCAGACTCAGAATATCTGTGTTGGGAGTAGCTGATCACACTTTATTTCCTTCCCTTGTCAAGCTGCTGTGTGTGAGGATAAAATTTACCTCCAGGAAAGAAACCCCTGAGATGAACTCCTGAAACAGGAGACATAGAGGAATGATAAAGTTAAGACACCCCTTTTTGCGCCTTGTCTTTTGCATATAAATTTCAGTGGACTTTGAGAGCCTGGCTAGTTTCACCAACAAAAAACTGGAGGCCACAGGCCACAGGGATTTGGAGTAGTGATGACTGACTAGGAAACAGCTGAAGGCAGGCAGCATTTAAAGACAACATAGAACAAAGGCGGGAACCCGTCTCACCAACTTCATGCTCCCCGGGATGGTCAGAGATCTCTACAGCATACAACTTCAGGCCCTGGTGGCTTTTGCCAATGTTGTAAATCCTGGTGATATTGGGGCACATTTCATTCACAACCTTCATCAACTGAAAGACAAGGTAAATGAAAGGTTTGGAATCATGATGACTGCATGCAAAAAAGAAAAAAAACAGTGCTCCCCAAAAGACAGCTATTTCCACAGCCTCTCGCCTCAGCACCCCTCTCCATCCCAGCCCTGCTGCTGTTATACCTTTGTCTAGAATACCCTCTATGGTTCCCTGTTTCCCAGGATAATACCCATTTTCCCAACCAAAACCTATCCTTTTGCCATCTCCTCTAAGGAGAAGCTCCTGGCCCAGTACTCTCAGCAACCTGATTATGCAGTTATAGCCTCTTGCTACAGACTGAATGTCTGCATCCCTCAGCTGAAATACAATCAATGCAAAAGTATTGAAAGGGGAAGCATTGAGTCCGCAAGATGGCTCAGCGGGTAAAGGCCCTTGCTGCCAACCTGAGTTTAATCTCTGGGACCCACATACAGGAAAGAAAAGACCAGCTCCTACAAGGTATCTTGACCGCGCCAAGTGCACAGATGCATGCACCCATGTCCCAACCAAACATACCTAATCAATAAATGTAATAAAATTTTCTTTTTAATAAATAGAAGTGAAACATTAGGTGGCACTTACATCATGAGGGTGGAGACTTTGTAAACAGGATTAGAACCCTTTAAAAGAGGCCAAGGACTAGTGTGTGGAGCCGTGGGAAAGTCACATACACATATGATCTAGTGGGTGAGGCCTCAGCAGACATATCTGCCAGCACCTTGAACTTGGGTTTGTAGCCTCTGGAACTGCAAACAAGGCGTTTCTATTGTCTACTATTCATCTACTGGATGGCATTTCTGCTATGACAGCTCCAACAGAGTAAGGCATCTTCCTGGGTTGGGATCTTCACTTCTCTCAGATGTGATATATGGCTATCACCCCGTTTGCTGTCACTACCTCCCACCCCTTTGGTTGTTGTCACCACCTCCCACACCCCTGGTTGTTGTCACCACCTCCTTGGCTGCAGTCAACATCTTCCTGGTTGTGGTCATTACTTTCTCATGGTGATTTTCATCTTTCTGAACCAGTCTCTTTGTAGATCAAATTGTGCAAATATGGTGTATTTGATATCAAGGTTTCATAAGCACTGCACATCTGAAGAAGGTGTCCCTGCCCTTCTGGAGCTGATAGTGCAACAGGAAGCAAGCACAGGATGATTCAGTTCAGGAATGCTAAATAAGGATTGCACGTGGTAGCCATGGACACAAACCTCACGGGGCCATGCGGTGAGCAAGGCAGGCTGCAGTGGGGAAGCAAGCCACATGCCATGTCTAGACTTTAAGATGAGCTAGTCAACTGACAGCCTTGGTCTGTGAGAGTGATGTGAGCTATCAGGGAATGCAGTGAAGGCTCTTCCATCTCTGGGGGATGGAGGACCAGGGAATCCTCTCCTCAGAGGTTGTCTTGCCTTGCATCCCTGACTGGTGCTGTGAGCATTGATTTGTTGGGTGAAAGGTATTTTGCAATTCTCATGGCAGAAGAACCTGGTTTAAAGAACAATGTATTCTCTTTATACTTACTAAGGACCCCACTCTATGTTCACTGAGGGCCCTACTCTTTATGTTTACAGAGGGTCCCATTCTCCACTAAGTACCATACAAACAGTGAAGACTGTAGAGTTTAGAGGATCATTTCGGGGACATGTGTTAACAACAGAAGGGACACGCTAACACTGGCAGAGCAAAGAAAGAACACCCTTCCAAGAGTGGTGGGCAGGCAGTATTCATTAGAAGGGCTCCTTGGAATAGCATGCATGCCTTTCTCCTACCGCAATGTGAAAGATGGCCACAGCACACTTGTCTCCAGGCCCTGTATGCCAGTCCCTTCTGGTGCAGTCACACTCAGACAAGGATCCCAGCAGGTCCTGACTGCGAAGTAAGCCACTGTCTCAGGTTCAGACCAAAGACGGTTCCTTCAGGAATAAGACCTAAGTAGTTCATTACAAACCTGGCAACAAATCTAAGCTTCAAGCACAGGCCTGGCTATCCTTTTCTGTTATCCTCTGTCTCTAGGGCAACAAGCACTAAATATCACAGCCTTCACACTGGAGGAAGACTAATATTCCCATGGATGCACACTGAGCAATAGATACAAGCTTCTTAGGCTGTAAAACCTCAGCATACCCTTTCTTCTTTACATTCCGTCCTCCCCTGGAACAGTGTTTCCCAACCCTGCTTTCTCTGCAATGGCTGGTATTAAATGAACAGATTATACTAAAATCAACCTTCCCTCATAAAGAGCAAGAGAATTTGAAGATACTAACCTTAGGGAGGCACTTTATAATTTTCCCTCCAGAGTAGCACTCTGGAGTACCCTGAGGAATATCTTGGGTGGCCATGGTACCCATGAAGAACAAGGGAATTGATCCACCTGCTCTTTCCAACAAGGCTATCATGACCAGCACCAAGGAGGGACCCTGTATTTAAACATAACTCCTTCTTTGAAAGGATGTAACTACTTTAGCCAAATAAACACTTTCCCCTCCAAGTTGTTTTTGGTCAGGGTGTTCACCACACAGCATAAATCAAGCTAGAATAAGGTCTTTGCAGTAAATATATGGGTCCTGATGACAAACAGAGTAAGGAGTAGGATTTCCCAGAAACCAGGGCACACATTCTCAACAAGGCTGAAGAAACTGATTCTGCAGGTCTGAAACATCTTGTATATCATGGTGCGTTTGGCTCCTCACAGCCCAACCCCCACCCCTGGAAAAAATAGTATCTGTTAAAATTTGATATAATGGAGGGGAAAGTGAGTAAGGAAAGGATGTCAAGACAGCTCCTTGGAGCGGGAGGAAGGGGAAGCAACACAGTAGAGGATAGCAGGGTTGGCTGGACTCAGTCACCTCTGAAATGGAAAGCATATCACCATCCTAGTACCCATCAGACTCTGGGCTCCTCTCTTTCCCTCCTTTGCTGCAGAAGATAGAATAATGAGATGATTTTCTAGTAATCCAATTTTCTGTAATATATCAGAAGAAAACTGTTCATGAAGCAAGCTAAAATTATACACATGATTACCCTGGTTGTAGCATGTTTCCTGCTTTGGCATAGTCATTAAAAGTTGGGAGATTTCCAAATGCTTCAGAGCAGGGGAGAAACTGCTAAAACACAATGCAACCATCCACTCACATGGCAGCACCGGTGGCAGTGGGGGTGGGGGTGGGAGTAGGGCAGGTGATGTTAGAAAATCAACACTAACTGAGAGACTGGGGGCAAAGACAGAGCCACTTTCTAATCACAGTGGTGCAGAACCTGTGAACAGAAGTTCAAGCACCAGAAGGGTAGAAGCGTGTTGCTGTAGCTTGAATGTGAGGTGGAATCCAAGACTCAATTCCATAATGTGTGGGGGTGGGGAGTTTTCTAGGGGGATGACTAAGTCACAGAGGCTCTGCCCTTATCAGTGGAATAAGTATCCTTATAAAGGGATAGGAGGAAAACAGATAGGCCATTTTGCCTTTCCACCTTCCACATGATGTCCCAGAAACAAGGCACCATATTGAATGTAGAGAGCAGCCCTCACTAGACACAGAATCTGCTGGTGCCTTGATTCTAGGTCACCAATATCAAGAACTATGAAAACTCAACTTCTGTTGTTTAGAAATTATTCATTCTCTGGACTTTTGCTTATCTGTAAACAGACCAGACCAAGACAAGAAAGATGTAAAAATTGCTGATTCATTAGTACAGTGAGTCTATGGAAGATCTTTTAGACTTGAGGTTCTCTTTTGATATAAGAATGCTTATCCAGTGAATAACAGTATTTATTTAAAAATCATTTAAAGAACCAGATAAAAGGTTTTCTTCAATCATCTTCCTTCAGAAATCACCTCTAATCCAATGGAAAAGGAATCCCCAGAGGAAGGAAACCACAAAGAGGAGCATTCATAGGTCATGTGGTGGTTTGGAAGAAAATGGCCCCCAAAGGAAGTGGCACTAATGGGAGGTGTGGTCTTGTTGTAGGAAGTATGTCACTGTGGGGGTGGGCTTTGCGCTTTCCTATGTTCAAGCTACACCAAGTGAGACAGACTACTTCCTGGCACCTGAAAGCCAAGATGTAGGACACTTGACTACTTCTCCAGAACCATGTCTGCCTGCACTCCACCATGTCCCACTATGATAATAATGGACTAAACTTCGGAAAATGTAAGCCATCCCAGTCAAATGTTTTCCTTTTTAAGAGTTGCCATCATCATTGTGTCTCTTCACAACAATAGAAACCCCAACTCAGATAGAAGTTGGTACCAGGAACTGGGGTGTTGTTGTGATAGGCCCTACTATGTTTTTGTTTGGAGTAATATGGACTTTGGTACTTTGGGTTAGGAAAGCAGTAGAATGGTTTAAGTACTGCTTAATGAGCCATACTAGTAGGAACATGGAAGACAATGAATGGTGCTGATAGTGATTTGAACTGTGGGGGGCTAGCTCAAAAGGTTTCAGTGGAGAATTTTAGTATGCTGCCTAGAGATCATTCTTGTGATATTTTGTCCTAGTCTGAGGAGTCTGTCTGAGGCTAAAGTGGTAAAGGAAATCTCAAAACAATCTAGTATAGACTTGGCCATGTGGTTACTAGTGTTCATGCTTATAAAGATTTATAATGAAAAGGAGCAAGTTTGAAGGATCTCACCCCTTAACTGATCATATTACCTGTATCATATTAGATAACAACACAACCTGTATCTCCTAAATATCTTGAACCTAAACATATCAGGACTCAAAGCAAAGACAAGTAACACTTTCCTAGGAAACCAACATCCTTTCTACCCAGGAAGGGCAAGCCATGCCCCCACAAGAGCTTGCCACACTCAACTTCAAATATACTTTAACAAATTGTTCAGGTCAACTATCTACCTCAGAAATACCTCTCCCCTCACACCCCAATCCCAAAAGTTCCTTTCCCAGGGGCTGTGGTGGGACTCTCCACCTTTCCTTCACATAGGGAAGGAATGCAGCTCGCTTAGGACCTGTCCTCTTGCGCAGCACCCACCTGATACTCCCACCCCACCCCCTTTGTTCTTGCTGGCCTCTTTGTTTGGACAAGACAAGTCTTTTTCCCTCTCTGTCTGATAAGGTCTGCCAGCAATCCAGATAGCACCTGTTCCCAATTATAGTCAAAGCTTCCTCCAGCCATGAGAAAGCTAACCCATCTGTCCCCATCCCATCTGTCATGACTGTAATTATGATGTTAATCACATGTATGATAAATTTCATATTACAGACTTACAATAAGTGACAGGGTCATTCCAAGTGGAAGAGATGAACAATGTATATTTAAACAAGTAACAAGGAAGTTATCAGTACATGCACTAAGAAGACATCAAGTGTTCTCTTGGCATAATTCTCTCTGCCTTGAAGTATGGATGTATGGATAGTCTTCATCTTCCTCTCTGCTTTCCCCATATCTTGCCCCTCCCTCTGCCTGGATTAGGAGCCATGTAACTCAGCGCTCTACAAGCATATGCTGCATGGAAGCCACACATTCTCACTGCCGTCCTCGTACAGTGGGATGAGCATCTCCACTTGTTTTGCTGCCTTCTCATTACTGCTTCTCATTTTATTGTTAGCTATAAATATCTCTTTCAGTAGCAGCCTAAGCCAACTATTTTTCCTGAGGTAGAAACATTTCTACAGCTACCTAGAAGACTCCATCTGGGGAAAGGCATAACAATTCTGTCTTCTAATCCAACCCCAAGAACCAGGAATCTACATGACAGAGGCTTCTGGTCCAGTTTGTTGGGACAGAGAAACACTCCCAGGACCATTTCTAACTCAGTGATTTTGGACAGTGGGACTTTGGGTGGTTGGGCTAAGGTGGCTGTACTGGAAATTCTGAGTCCTCTTAGCTCCAGCATCTCCTGAGTGGTAGTCATCATAGTCACCTCATGCATAAAGCACATACTACCAGTTCTCCCTAGAGGACCCCAGTTTTGCATGTGGGGCAGTTGTTTCAAGTTCTGAGTACCCAGGAACTGTGGGCATTCGGCTCACTGTGTGTCTATGTGAGGTTCATTGCACCAACTGAATTGATATCTGTCTCACTTCCGCTCTTGATGAGATGCCTTAAAACACCCATCGAACAAAAGGCTGTGTTAACCCGCCAGAGCTCCCAAAGACAGAGTGGTGGGCAGAGTCATAAAAATACCCCGAGAAAGTGGAGCAGCAGGCATGAGTCACACACCTCAAGTCCAAGCACATTATCTCTGTTTCTGAAGAGCAAGACAGTAAGAGGAGTTCTTTAGCACATCCCACCCCTACGTCTGTGCTGACAGGTGTCTGGAAGCCGTGCGTATCTCAAGTTAAATGACAGTGAGACAAGCCAGGCATGCTCATTCCATGGAATCAAAGCTCAGCCTAATGACTCTGATCTCAGAAACGTCTCTTGCCTTCGTCCTGGGCAGCTGGCTCCTTCCCTCAGCCCACAAGCCCTCCCTCTGAGCTGCATTAACTAGCCTTTGGTAAGTCTTTATGTGCCAATGTAATCCTGAGGTTATTTCTGTTCATTCCATGTCTTCAAACTGATTCTTTAATATCTAAGACTCATTTACCAATGCCTTCCCATAATTTCTAGTGCATTGCTATAGAGTTTTGTCCTCTGATCATACCTGTCACTATCATCTTCAACAGAGAAGCTGTGACTACTTGCAAGAGAACTTCAAGATGCAGCCCAATGACTTTTGTCCTCTCCTCACTGAAGGAAGGCCCAGGGCCATTGAATTATCACCTGAGAGAGAGCCCAGCCATTCCCTCCTGTGCCTCCTTGTCAGCTGAATGTAATTCTGTTCTAGCTTCAAGTGACCTTGGGATCTTGAAGGTGCTGGGGTATATAGAAAGGAGAAGGTTAGGTGAAGTTGGGGGAGGACTCCACCTATGCAGCTATGGAGACATTGTGATTCATTCTAGGCTGTACAGGCATCACCTCCATTCCTGTAACTAACCCATGTTCTGTACAGAAGCCTAATAAACTCATTAGTTGGACTTCAGTGAAACCAAATTTTGTCATCGGTGCCCGATCTGAGGTGAACAGGCATTTGCAAACGTCTCCCCAGGACACATGCAATGTGGGTGTGAACAAGGGTCTCAGAGACAGTGAACATTAGATGCTGCCCTTTTGCTGTCCTTATGGTTGTGTTGTGGACAGCATGCACAGGCTGACATGGCTCAGAGCTACAGAAACTCTAGGTCTGTCTAAGAAAAGTCACACTTGATCTCCATTCTCTGCTACTTATGCTCAGATTCCCAAAATGCCAATTATATGTCCTGAGGCCTGGCTGTACAGAAGCACAGGACAACTTCTAGGATACATCTGCTAAAGATTTGACGTCACTGTGTCTGAGGGGGCTCATGTGTAGATTATAATTTTAATTATAAATTTCCCAGGTCACTCTAGTTGGCAACCAATATTGAGCTAAGAATCTAAATATTGACTGACCTAGGTCCTCTATATATGTATGACAGTTATATAGCTTGATCTACTTGTGGGACTCTGTGGAATCTGAGCCTGTCCCTGACACTTTGGCAGGCTTTTGGGAACCTATTCTTCATATTGGGTTGCCTTAACAAGCCTTAATATGAGGGGAGGAACTTAGTGCTTCCTCAACTTGATATGCCATGCTTTGTTGACACCCATAGGTGGCCTGCCCCTTTCAGAACAGAAAGAGAAAAGGAGTGGATTCGGGGGCGCAGATGGGAAGCTGGAGGAGGGAATGGGAAGAGAGGAGAGAGGGAATGTGTGGTTGGGATGTAAAATAAATGAATAAAGTTAATACATAGCTTTTAAAAAAGAATCTAAACATTGTGGTAGGAGGTAATAGTGCTTTATAGCGCCACATGACTCAGTTTCCCTATCAATAAGAGAAGGTAATCACAGTCCCTACCCTTCTGGACTCTTAGAAGGACCGAACATGTTGATGGAGGTCAGTTGTGGAACACAGCATGCAGACCCACGGGAAGGCTTTCAGTTCTACCATGAGTGCCCTCTCACCTTCAAGTCCAAATTCATTAACATCCCTCAACCAGTGACCAGACTCAAACACAGAGCCTTTAGCAACCAAAGGAGGCTTTAAGGGGAAAAGTTCAGCTTTGAACTCCGTTTCAGTCATTTCCTAACAAAGGAGGCCCCGTTTGGTTGCCCAGAGGAATCACACTTAGTGCTTATTGCTCATGCCCTGCGGCTCTTCGACAGTCATGTTGGAAACCCCATACTCTGGTCTTACCTGGCGCATTTCCTTATAGTTGTGGTGCTTAAAATCCAGGTCATCGGTGGTGGTCATCTCATTGCGTCGGTGATAATAGCTATTAGGATCTAAAGACAGAAAGACGGTTGTGAATTCATTCACAGTCAACAATGACGTCCCTGCTGTGATCCTGGTTTATGAGATGACGTTGGAGCTAGAAAGCTGAACTTCTAATGTTGGAGCAGAGGCAAGAGCACCAAGCCAGCAGGAGGCACGTGGGAGTTGGAACGGTTTGGAGATTAAGAAGGTACAGTCACAAGGCCTGGGCTTAGGTCTCTACTTTATGTGATATGACCTTGGACAAACCACTTGAGCAGTCTGCGCATGACTTTTTCATCTTTAAGCAGGAAAGGAACAGTATCTCCTCACTTGGCTTACAGTGAGCAGTAGAAGAGATACATATGTGCCGGGACCACTGTCCGTGTGAAACAAGTAGTTATGAAGTTCAAAACCACATGTGCATCCTCGGAGACCTTAGGAAACATCTACCCACTGTTAGTCTCTGAGCTGGAATGTGTTACCTTTCATTTTTCCTAACAGAAGCCCAGCATGTGAGAATTCCTTTCTTTCAATATCTCAGAACTCTCAGGCCCTGGCCACAGGGCCAGGCCAAACCTGTAATAGCACCCAGTTGCTCTGGCTGCTCCACTGGAGGGGAAGTAAAGAGCACAGAGGAGGAGAGAGTGACAAATCTCTCTCCAGGCAAAGGATGCTAAAGCACTGCCCTGATTGCTGTGGTGGCCTCTTGACCATGAAGGAACTACCAGCACCACCTCAGTGACCAGCGGGACACAGCAGCCCAATGACATCAAGAGTTCCTTGTCAGCCAACCCTGAAGCAATCCTTCTATGACATTTAGAACCAGAAGCACCTGTTATAGTTTCCATATGAAATGTTCCCAGAGGCTCATGTCCCTAGTTAGTAATATATTTTAAGAGACAGCAGAGCATTTAGTAGGCAGGGCTTAGCTATAGGAACTACGTCATGGAGGGTACTGACTTTGAAGGTTCTGCCTGGTCTCCAGTCCCCTCCTCTCTCTTTACTTCCTGCCTATTATAAGGTGAAGAGCTTCCTCAACCACATGTTCCCATACCTGTGGCATGCCTGTGTGTCTCGCCACAGATCTAGTCAATGTGCTCCAGAAACCTCAGGAGCTGTGATCCAAAATCAGTCTTCCCTCCTTGTAAGTTGTTTCAAAAATATGAAAGTCTTACTGACACAGCAGCCTCACAGGTGTGAAGGGAGTAGCAAAGAGGTGGCCTTGAGGACCAGGCCTCTGACTACAGCCCGCTCTCCCTGGATCCCTTTTCATTTAACTTGAACTTTCTTTTCAATTCCTATTGTGCTGTATTCCAAAATAAAGGTGATACAGAATAGAGAGGGCAGAGAGGAGGAAGAACAGGAAGGAGAGAGAGGGGAAGGGGCCCTAGATCTGCCCCAATGTCTTTGTCCTCATCTTAGGAAGAATGGCAAAGGCTACCAGTCATCATGCTAACATTTCCCCATTAGAGGATACAGTCAGAAAGTCTCAGTTAGCAAAGACACCCCACCACCACCACCCCATGTGAGGAGCACCAGAACTTTGGAAGCCCCCAACAGCTTAGGTTCCACCTAAGTGGCTCAAAGGCCCATTCTAGAAGCAGGGGGATGGTAGCAGAAGGACCCCTGAGATGTCAGGATCAGCAAGAAGCCATCTGCACCACCAAAGTCCACAGACTAGGAGCACTGGCTGCCTAATAGACCTACCTCAGCCCTGCCAAACCAGATTCCTCATCATAACAAAATCCTGGCTGACTCTGCAGGCTCTATGTGAGAGAAACACCAAGTCATGACATCACACATCCTCACCAGCTAGCCCTGCTGGGACACTTAACAAATGGCTTTAGCCTTGGAGACTGAGGCCACACCCAACAAATTAGGAGTTGCAAGAGGACTCAAACATCAAATATAGTGTTAAATCTTCGTGAAAGATCTAGCGATACTATAAAAAAAAACAAGTAGCTATCATGGAAGTTGGTAGCTTGCAGGAGGGAGACAGGCATTTTGTTCAGGCAAGAAAGTCAATGTCATCTAGGCTCAGAGCCAAAGCCTCTGTTATCTCTCAAACACCTGCTTGGGGCACAGGATATCAATGGCTTTGGAGAGAGCTTTCCAGGCCAATGGGTTCCGAAGCAAAGGTAAAGAGTGACAGTTTTTGCTTTTGGTTTTGATTTTGCATTTATTGACTTGCTGTTTTCTGAGAGCTATTCAGCACCCACTCCCAGATTCAGGGGTGGGTCTCCAAAGAATCTGAAATCCCTTTTGGTTCCAAACACCAGTAATGCCTTCAAGGTTGTGGAGAAGGGTTGGAGGAAAAGCTCAGAGCCCTAGGTACAAAAGAATGGTTGACAATGCCTTTCCTTCCTGAAGACTAGTCAGTGTGTTGAAGGATCCAGGACAAGAGTCTCCCATATTTAATAAATAGTTCTTTGTCTTTGAATGAACAAAATTTCACTGAGATTTTCTTAGGAGTCCATCTCTCGGTTTTAAAAGTAAGAATTGAGCTCAGAGTTCACAGTCAGTCTATCAGCCATCTACTGCTATCTCTGAAGTCTCTTTCTTCAGTCAGCACCTATTTCATGTGGTTTAGAGGAACCGTCTTGACGTATGAGCCCAGGTGCTGTGACCCAGGTCCAGGCTCGTGCCCCACTTGCTCGAGCCAGTCACTAGCTCAGAGATGATCCTGGGACAAAGCCCATGCTCTCAGTGAAGCTATCCTCACTGGTTTTCAAAAGGAAGTAACTTGTGCCCCTCTCTGGCTCTCAGAACATTGTAACAATGGTCCTCAAGGAACTGAGTTCTCCCCAGGAATCTCATACTAGGAAAGGGACAAGGCTGAATTAAGTCCTGTGCCTGCCAGAGGAGGCCTTCTCCTCCCAAAAAGAGATTTCACTTAGTTCAGGGCACCGCACAGCAGAGACTGGAGCCTAGAAAATGAAGGGCTGTTGATGGATGAGGTTACACCTTGACCAGGAATGCTTAGAGTTTTGTGTAACTCCTGCCCCTAGTGAGATCTAAGCTTCAAGTTAGGACACATAAGATGGACTTGGGGTTCACTGTAGCTTCTGGTCTGTTTTCCCTGTGTAGCCACACTAACTCCCTTCTCTGCATTCCACTATGGCTCGCATTCCCATATAGCTGGTCTCTTTAACAGGAATAGTGAACATGAATAACTGACCTAGCTCATTAGGGCTGCCAAGGCCTAGGTTCTGATCCTAAGTACTCCAGTGACATCAGAGTCGTAGGAAAAGTCTCTTTCTCCTGGGGTTACCCAGATGGCAGGAACTGGACTACTAGTGACAACCTGTCAAGTCTGCAAAAGTCTCCAAGACAGTCCTCACCCCAGCGAGAAAACCCTGAGATATTAGCTCCACCCCTGTCACACCCACCCATGCAATTTTCATTTGCTGGCCAATTTTTTTTTCTCATTACATGAGTCTGAGGACTTCTGGCACTTGAAGCAGAAGTCCTGACTGACTGATTCCATCTCTGTGTCTTTATTATCACAGATGGAGCTCTTAAGCCAGCTTCCTGCCTCCTTCCATGCAGTTAGTATTCAAGATCTTTTGTACAAAAACCCAGCGATTCCTTGGGGGACTCCTTACCTACAGGGAGAGAGGAGTCCAGGCACGGCCCCTAAAATCCTCATCCAGTCTACTCACCTTAAATCCCAAACTGGAGTGCTCCAATGCACTCTCCTTATCAACCTTGGAAATGTGTACAACCTTTGTCCCAGCAATTCCACTTGTAACATACAAGTTCAAGAAACAACTGTGGACACAGGGATGGACACACACACATGCATGTGCACACACACATGCACTCATACACACATACATACACACACATGCACACACATAAGCACATGCACACACATTTGCACATGCACACACACACACACGCATGCACACACACAAACACATGCACACACACATACACTATTGACAGAGAAATAAGAAGAATAACTGCAAGACTGTTTATGCAATCAGGATATCCTAACCCTGAATTTCCAGCTACCATAGGCTGATTTAAAACATGAGATTTTGCCCACAGAGCAGGAAAATACTCACAGATGCCTTCTTCCTGGTTATATTCCTTTTATCTAACCAAAAGCAATTTAGGGGAGCAAAGGGTTTATTTCACTTACAGGTCACACAGTCCATTGTGGAGGAAATTCAGGGTAGAAACTTGAAGGCAGGCCCGCTGACTATTTTATGCAATATTATCTCTCACCAGGGAATCCACTCACAGCCAAGGAAGTGCCTCAGGAACTATGGAGGAGGCTGCATGTTTCCTCACTCGCTGGCTTATGCTTAGCTAGTTGTCTTATGCAGCCCAGGGAATGGCATTGCCTACAATGGGCTGGGCCCTCCTACATCAGTTAACAATCAAGAAACCCCACACACACATAGACCTGCCCACAGGCCAACTTCATCTGTGTGACCCCTCAATGGTGACTTTCTTTTTAGGTGACTCTATGTTGTGTCAAGTTGACTGTCATTGATGGTCAAAGCTAACCAATTTTTGTGACATGAAAAAAATGCAAGTTAGTAAGTGCAAACAAACAAAATGCAAAACAAAACATGTGTGTGCTGTGAGAATCGTTATGTAGGCAGACAGAGCTGGCTTTCTCACCCATGGAGGGTTCATGTTCTAAAAACCCGCAGCTGGCAATGCCAGCTCATGTATATTACAGGACTGAGAGAAAAATAGTAATGTGACATTAAACATGCTTTGGAAACACAGCAAACGCAAGCTCATGGTGGAACTGGGGTGACATATAAAATAGCAGCAGTGGATTGCCTCTGGCGGTGATGGGCAGGACTGAGAGCCCACAGGCAGTGATGCCCCAACTTATACTATGAGCCTAAAAATGAGCAGACTCCGGGGAGAAATCTGACTGGGATGAACCATGCTCCAGTTCCGGTTCCTTGTGACCCGACAGGAGAAAGGACAGGAATACAATATTCCTGCAGGCTCTGGTAGGTGCTACAGGGAGCGTTTTAGGCCAGCTGTTTTCCTGGAGATGTTTAGTCAGGAGGAAGAAGCTCTCTCCATGGGTCCCCAGTGATACAGCTAACACTTTCTGAAATGCCAGCCTAGATCAACCTGACTGGAGCAAACACTAATAGGATCCAGAAGGGTCACCATGTGAATTCCTGCCTATATCCTAAAGTTAGAACCAAACACCATCACGTGAAAATCAGGCCATTAGACTAGAAGGAACAAGCATTCCGTGACCATGCGGGAACCCAAGGGAAGCTCTTTAGGCAGAGATCCTACAAATGCTCACAGTTAAGTTTCTTCCTGCTCTGCCTCTGTGCCCACTATAGTAGGCGTGCCGAGGAGAGATACATGACTCGAGTCAAACATATTCTATAGTGCTGAAAATCGAACCCACGAACCCAGATACTTACATATTTGTGTGTGCTTTACCATTAAGTTACGTCCCTAACTGACTGCTGGGTGCATTTTTCTTACTTCTGAGTGACAGCACTGATTGAGCCATCAACCTTGACATACATAAACATCTTAAAGTTACAACAAGGAAAACCACACTTGGCAAGAGGGCTCAGTGCCACCAACATTCATGTTTATGAGTTGAGATTATGAAAAGTTCTTTTTCTTTTCTTTTTGAATAACCTGTGAGTTTAAGAGACTTAACAGTGGACACAAGAAAATGATGGCTCAACTTGTCCCGACTCATCTTGGGGAGGCACCTGCCTCCCATTAGGAAACACCCTTGCAGGCAGTTCAGGAGGCAAACTCACCTGGCAATGGGCAGCCCAAGATCTCCATCCTCATGCAGATGCTCCCATTATCAAACCAGGACTGTGGATTTATGCGAATGTAGCGGGCAACCATGGGGACTGGCAACTCATTTAGTACAGGGATCTCCTTCTCACTGTTTCCTTCAAATATCTATTGGTGCTCAAGGGAAAAGAAGTTTTTTAAGATCTTCATCTTAAAATTCACTCGTTCTTATCAAGGAGTACCTATGCATGCTGATAATCAAGGCAAAAAGGAACAAATCACCCCTGAACTCTGCCTCAGGAATCCCCTATCTCTCAGTCTATCATGAGGGATAAGAGGATACTCTAGAGCTCAGGCTTTTAGAAGGAGGCAGACCAGCCCAAGCTTTGCAGCAGAGAGAGGTTCTGTTTGTCCCAACAGTCAAGGAAAACTACTTAGACTGGCAGGAATGAGAGGAGTTCTAGAGGCAAGGAAACATCAATGGAGAAGCCCAGTGGTGGGTTTCGTAGATAAACCAGCTGGTTCCATTCTGCTGGTGCACGCAGGACAGTCAGTGATGTAAGTAAGAATGACACAGAAGGTAGAAGCAGGGCTGTGGTCATGTGTAAGATGCTGAATGCCATACTAGGAGAAGCACTTGAGAATCTGAATTTGAGACTAGCAAAACTCCCATGCTAATCATGCAAGGTGGCTCTTGGAAGTGACAGCTGTGGGGGGTCCCCAACTGCAATGTGTTAACTTATAAATGGGGTGAGAGGCTGTATCCTAGAAGTACATTAGACGGAATGAATGCAGAATTCTGCATCAGCCTCAGCTGTGGGCCACTGGAGGTTGGACTTCAGAGCAGGAGAAGGAGGTCACTATCCATCAGACTCTCCTGGTTGGCTTGAGTTTACATAGACTTGGTAAACATCCCCAGGGACAGGACAAATCCCCATGGTCAGGCACCAATGACATGGGTAGAGCAGGGAGGGGACTCACCATGTCACCAGATCCATTCTTCACAGTAACCCATGTATGGCTGTCATTGCTCACCATGACTTTGTAGGATGTCACCCAGTCACTCCTGTGAAAAAATAAAACATCACCAGGATTACATACTTTAAAATGCTCACACCTTCCATTCTGAGATGTGGAAGGAAGAACAAATATGCTTTATTCGGGACTGGGTCAAACCCTGATTCTCAGAAAGTCCTGGAGGACAATATAGATTCTTGTCATTGCTCTTGATTTCCCATTACAACTAGATGATAAGACCCCAGTGCTGAAGATACCACACACTTTGATTGCAGAACATAAAAATCTTGAACCTGCTAGAAAATGTCTTCCCTCCTGGCTAGTCTTCATAGTACTAGAATATGCTATGCATATCGCTGAGGGAGAAAAGACATCAGTGGTGTTATCAAGCACTGTGGACCATGCATGCTAAAATAGCAACTTTCCAGGCAAGATGTGCCCTCGAGTGTAATAGTGGCAAGACTGTTGTGGGCATGACGAACTGCTTTCTGGTTGCATCGGAAACCTCCGCTATAGGAGGGCATCCGTGCCTGGTACTATAAGCCAGACCAAAAGCCCATGGTTGTGGAGGAACCTACTGTTGTTATTCTGCTAAGAAACCATGCTGTCAGACAGCTTCCTAAATTTTTATGCTTCAGCACATTGTCTGTGCTGCTCTCATCCTCACTTAGAGAAGCTCCTTTTTGCAGGAGGCAAAGGTGAATGCAGACGCCTCACTGGTCAGAGCTCTAAGAACCAGGCGCTCTGAGTGCTCAGCCCCAAACGAGACATCTATATCAACCAAGAGCAAACAAAGAGCCAGACACGGGGGAAGAGTGATCTGAAGTGTCTTCTGGACAGGACACAGCTGTGCTACTCGTGAATTCACAGTGATGCAGGTTACCAGCACAAGATCAAGCCACTCAAAAAACTCTAGCACAGATCAGGGAAGGGCTCATGTGGCCCTGTATGGAGCTGAAGAAGCAGCGGCAGCCGATGGCTGCTGTGGGAAGAGTAGTCATTTCTTCTGCTGTGGCTCCTGGCAGGTTCTTGAGTAGATAGCCCACACCAGGCTCGTGAGGGCAGCACTGGCAGAGCTCAGCTATGCAAATGGTGACGAGGGGGACAAGGTGGGAGAAGGGCGTGTTAGGGAGCCCTGGGAGGAGTTGCGGGGAGATGAGGAACACATGGTCAAAATACATCACATACATGCATGAAACTCTCAAAAAACTAAATAATTATGACTGAAACACAAGACAAAGGAATCCTGGTTCCATAATACTTACTGGTTATATAACTGTGTCCATGTCACTGACCCATCTATGCAAAAAAATACGACTGTGAGACTTGAAGGGTCTAATGCCCTTTAAGCACTTAGGACAATTCCTAGCCCCTGGTCACACACACAAAGATATGTAAAAAAGAGCATATGTGTCTGTACTGAAGACATATCACACACTGCAGAAACTGCGTGGAGTCCAGCAGGGAGAAATAATCTCAGTGAATGCTGCAAATTAGTTTAGAAATTTCACTTGGAGAAACTGACTTGTGAATGCAGCATACCAGATCCAATCAGCCACAAAAGCAATGACTTGAAATTACGGGTTTCTCCTTGTCTATCATAGCCACACAGACATTCCCCATCCCAGCAAGAATCCAGTAGACTGGACCCAAAACCGGAACCCTGTCACCATCTCCCATTGTATAGAAATTATTGGGGACAAAGCAACCATAGTTTCACTTGCTGGAATGAAGACCAATCTGACAGGCGTGGCAAAATAAAAACACAACCCAAATAGGGTTTTTTTTCTGTTGTTATTTGCCAGGTAATATGGAAAGGCCATTCTGAGCATGCCCTTTCTTGAAGCCTAGAATCCTGGCGGCTGCAGCAGCCTCCCGCTTTTCTGTCCTTTCCTTCCGTAGGTCCTCTTGCTCTCGGGTTCTGCTGCCAGGGCTGTGACCCCTTTGGGGGTTGCATATCAGATATTTACATTATGATTCATAACAGTAGCAAAATGACAGTTGTGAAGAAGCAACAAAGCAATTCTGTAGTCTGGGTCACCACAGCATGAGGAACCGGCTTAAAGGGTGGCAGCATTAGGAAGGTTGGGAAGCACTGGTTAAGCTTTCAGCCTGAGAATTTGCTCAGGAGCAGCTTGTTTTGAGGTGCCTCTACCCATGCTTAGAAACATCCTACACCTTCTCCTGCTGTGCCCTCCCCATCACCATCTGTGTCCAGAATCAAACAACTGTCCCTGCCCCAAACACTGCAGTAATCACACCACCAAGCACTCCGCAAGGCCTGCTGGGAATCCAGTAACACCTGCCTGCAAAAGTACCCTCTCCTCCAACAGCAATCTGCTCCATACTTCAATCATTTCCAACAGCAGCCCCTCTTTGCCTGACGACTGTTTCTCAGCTGATAATGCCCACCCAATACCAGGAAGGGCTCTGTCCTAGTGAGACAAAGGAGTTAAGTTAGGACACTCAGTCAAATGAAGTACACAAACAGGGGGGAGGTAGAGAGGCAGCTTAGTAATTCTCCAAAGAAGAGAAGCTGGGCCTGTGGTCCGGTGCAACCCCAGCTACTCCAGGGGTTAGAAGTGGAAGAATCAGAAGTTTCAGGCTAGTCTGGACAGTTTAGTGATATTCTGTCCTAAAATTGTGTGTGTGTGTGTGTGTGTGTGTGTGTGTGTGTATGTGTGTGTGCGTGTGCGAATACACATACACATACACATATAATAAATGCACTGGAGTTGTGACTTGGTAGTAGAGCACTTACCCAGCATACACATTCCTGTCTGCCAGGAGGCATCACAACAGGCTGGCTTAGCAGAGTCCCTGTCATCCACCAGGACCACACACCAACAGTCACTCCTGACCCTCCCTTTCCTCCCCCCCATATTCAGCTTCTCTCGAAGTTTCACCAATTCAGCTTGTATCTTTCTAAAATGTATCAGACTTTAGCTCCAGCAGCAGCAGCCCAGCCTATTTCCTCCAGCCAAGACAGTTATCCCCAAATTGTCTCCTGGGATCTAAACTCCCCTCTCCCCGTATGTGTTGTGAAGAGCTTACTTTTCTAGTGAAACATGGCTGAGTTATCTCCTGCTTTATTGCTATTTTAAACGTCAAGAAGTCATATTTCATTATATATCACTCTTATTGGAACTTACCTATGGACTAACCAAGCTTGTATACTGGGTATTTTAAAGGCTATAGCCATGTGGAATGTGGTACATACGCTCCAGGTCTTCCAGCCACTGATAGAAGTATTCCGACCTCTGGGATTGCATAGATAAATTATATGTGATCCTTTCTTTCAATGTTTTTGAAGGTTAACAATGTAGACAGAGTGGTGAACAAACGTTCAAGAGTGGGACTAAGCGCTGTGAAGAGGCACCTTTAGGGGGTGGTGGGAAGAGAGAAGGAGCCACCTAGATCAGCTGAATGAAGGATGACCAGCAGGTGAACAACTGGGAAGAGTCCTTACCTAACACAAAAAGCTAAACATATTTTTCCTTTATGCTAGACATATCCATTGCCATAAGTCAGCCTCATGGGAGACTGGAGCCATAATATCCCTGGTTCCTGGTCTCATGAGCTTCAGGGAAGTCTTGACAACCACAGCACTTTTGTAGCTTATTTCCACTTCCCTCAGAGAGATTATTCCATATCACAAAACCACCTTGACATTCAGGCTTGACACAGAGCTACTCAGCCCAAGCAAAGAAGTACTGGGGTCAGAGACTTCCAGACCACAGGCGGAGGCAAAGGCTGTGCTCACTCTCCTGGACTCTGGCAGCTCACTCATTTGAGAATCTAAAACACACAAGATACCCTTGGTTGCACTAGCTCACTTTCCTCCAATATAGCTTTCTATCAGATCAGGTTTACAACAGAAGGTGGGCCACAGAGGAAGGAGTCAGGGCACTGTAACATTCTACTGTGGAGTCTTCCTTACAGGTTAGCTGGATTCTGGTCCTGCTAAGATGAACAAAGGTTTTAAGTTATCAGAGAGTTTGGTAGCCGTGGTGGGGCACGCCTTTAATCCCAGCACTCGGGAGGCAGAGGCAGGTGGATCTCTGTGAGTTCGAGGCTGGGCTGGAACCGATAGCCTCCAAAACAATACAGAGAAACCCTGTCTCGAAAAACCAAAAAAAAAAAAGTTATCAGAGAGTTTGCAAGCAAGTAAGTAAGAGAAATCTCCAGGGACCTGGGGGCTATGAGCTGAAAGGAAAAAAATTAGGCATTGCATAAGTTAACAAGCCAACATTGTTTTAGGGAAATGCACATAAGGATAGGATCAAAACCTTTACCCTGCCAACCATAAAAAGCTAGAGATGTTGAACAGGAAACCTTCCCCCAAGATTCTGGAAGGGAGTGAAAATACGTTAGAGGGTCTGAGAGCATCAATGTCTACTCAGCTCCCAGCAGAGGTCAACACAAACTGTCTCTGCAGAGGAACCTTTCTCTTAAATCCTTTGGTGTTTCTCGAGGTCAGAGGGAGTAGGTGAGGATAATTCTAAAGCCTCATTAATCGCCTAGAAAATTCTCCCAATAAGAAAGAGGTACCAGAAATAAAACACAACAAATTCAGACCTAAGAGAATTGGAGGTTTTGGAACTATCACATTATGTATTTAAGTTTTCTGAATCAAAAGGTTGCTAAGCACAAATCCCCATCTACTTCCAGTGGGGTTGTGCCCTGGTAAAACCCATCATGGGTTGATTATACAATAAGCTGGAAGTGGATACCCCTAGCCTACTGAGCAGAAGGTCTTAGCAACACAGCACACTGTAGAGTCTTGCAGTTGCGTGAGCAATTGTGTGACTGATTCCTATGGCTCACTGCTGTAGCCAGCTTGATGAGAGAGGGTTGACCACACATTGTCACTAGCCCATGAAAACGTCAAAATCCAAAGTATGAATTTCTAGTGTATGAGACAATTCTAAAGTTGTTTATCTGTGCCTAGCACATGACACATACCTTCATAAGCATTTTGTAAATATTAACTCATTTTTCTTCATGACAACCAAATGGCACAGGTGCTATTATTTTGAACTACAGATG